CAGTTTTGCTAGGTTTTGATGGAGTTTTTAATTTCTTGGATCTCTCTTTGAAGCTGTTTCATGCATTGTAATTTCTTCCAATATTGTTTATTCAAGGTTTCCACCATTTTCTTGTGTTCCTCTTTTAAAAAAAAATCTATGTCTTCTTTAGATATGCTCAACAGTTGTTTCAGTATTTTTGTGATTTCTTCATTTACATGAGATATTATTTCTAATCTGATTGCTTTTACAGACTAATGAAGTTGTTTCTTTACTTCAGTTCCTATCCTCTCAGAGATTTCAGGTGTGAGACTTCCATTTTTTTCCATGACTGTTTCTCCCAGGCTTGTTCCCTGTGGGCTAGAGGTCTGAGATTGCCTTTTGATCCTTCATCTTGATATTATCCTGGGTTGTGGAGTGCCAGGCACTTACCATGTTGGCTGCTCCTCCAAGGTGTAGGGGAATGCGTTTCTCTGAACCTAGGTTCCCAGGCAGGCAGTGGTGTATGGCGTGGGCTTCTCCAGACCTGCACAGGTACACTGAGGCTTCCCTGATGGCCATGGATGTGTGGTGGCGGGGCTGCTTCTTCTCTAACCCTGAGTGGCTACTCCAGGACTCCCCCATTGGTGGCATGTGCACAGGGGCGTATTTGTCAGAGTCTTCTGGCTTGTACTGACTGTCTCCAATGGCATCCTGTGGGCGCATAGGACATATCTGGCTGTTTCTCCCTGTCCACATTGGTTAGCAAGGAAAGTAAGCACCCCCATGGCAGCAGGCATGCAGGGGCTGGTCTTTTTGTTTTTCCGTGCCTGCATTGGCTGCCTGCAGGAGGCAAGCACCCTGCACCCTGAAGGCAGCAGGCACAGGTCTGGCTGTTTCTGCCTGCCTGTGCTGGTTACCTGAGGGAAGCAAGTAGGTACCCCAAAGGTGGCAAGTGCACAGGGGCGGGTCTGGATGCTCTCTTGCTGTGTCTCTTTTTGGTCTCTTGAATCTCTTGGGTTTCACTACACAGTTAATGCTGGCCTTGAACTCACTTTGTAGCACAGGCTAGCCTTGAATCACTTGTTTTTCTTTTTTCTTTCTTTTTTTTGAGACAGCATCTGGCAAAGTCACTAAGTTCCTCAGGCTGAATTCGAACTTGTGATTCCCCCTGCCTCAGGGCTTCCAGAGTGCTGGAATTACGGGTATGTGCCTCTGTACTTGGCACTTTCTGGATCTTTGATTAAGAACTCATTAATTCCTTTATGATGCTCAGAGAAAGAGATTTCTGCACTGAACAAGAGTTATCTGATAATTCTAGATGGGCTTGGTGGCACATGCCTGTGATCTCAACACTCTAGGAGGTTGAGACAGGAGGATGGTGAATTCGAGCCCAGCCTGGGAAGTTTAGTGAGATTCTGTCTCAAAATAAAAAAGTAATAAATAGGGCTGGGAATGTAGTTCGATGCGAAGGCCTGGGTTCAAGTCTTCTAACTCTAGAATTTTAGCAGCATTACATCAGATGGCTTTCAGTTCCTTCTAAAGATGACATCAACATATATCCACATGTATTCAGCATGGTGTCAGCCCAGGCCCTGATTCCGCAGAAGCTGTGTCTCGCTTAGGGCACTTCAGGCGGGGCTTTCTTTCATCTCTTCCCTAATCAGTAAATAGGTACCGAACAAAAAAGAACATTATTTATCTTTCTAATTAATACTTCAACATTGTTCTTCCTCCACTCACAGGTTGGGTTTTATTTCCGGTTTAACAGACACTACAAACTACAAACCGGGTACCCTGCATGCAAGCTCTGCACTGCTTCTTTACAGGTGAGAGAGGTGAGAAAGTAAGTTCTGTAGGGAATACACGCAATTCTCCTTTTGTACCAGGTGGAGGCGCTCGTTCATCTTCCCAAATACCGGTTCACTGTTTAGCACTGAGCGACTCCACCCGCACGCCACTTCCGTGGAAAGCAGTCCAGTGGATGGCGGTAGCCGAAGTGCAGCTTGGACACTGGTTAAAAACAAATAAATAAAAGCACCCTAGTGCTTCTAACACATCCGTAGGGGTGAGAGTTGCTGATGCTGGGTGTTAGATATTTAGAACCAAGCACTATGGAGAAACCAGTGAAAATTGTTTCTCATTTAATTTAGTGCCTTATTATCTAGAGTATGAATAGGGTGACATCACGAAGTGTATTCTTCCTCTATGATTAATTGTCCTCGTGGCTTGAAAACCACATAAAACTGGTTGCTTAACTGCATTATATCTTAGCTCCCTTTCTCATTGCTGAGGCAAAATACCTGACACCCAAAGCTAAAGGAGGAAAAGTTTATTTCAGTTTACCATTTGTAGAGATTTCAGTGCATAGTGGGCTGGCTCCCAGGCAGGGTGGCATGACAGAGAGGATTGCAGAGGAGAAACAGTTCATGGTGGGCTCACTTTCTCACCATCTGTACCCAGGTCACCTGAAAGACCAGGCTCTGCTTGCCAGGGTGGATGTTTCCCACATCTGGCCCTTCTCTCCAGTGTGAACTCCATTAGTAACAGGCTGCTCCACCCCTCACTCTGGTCCTGGCAGCTTTGCATGGAGCCAGAACACAGCCTACATGTCCTGAGTGTTTTATATGAGCGGGGAAAATGTTTATGTAGCTACCAATGCATTGTTGTGAGTGTGGAGAGCTGGTGTGCCGGCTTTGGGCCTTTTAGGCAGGCTGCTTGTGCCTGCCTGGAAGAGCCACCATTTACTGGGGACTCCCCAGTAGGATCCTGTCTCTGGGTGAATACAATCTGCGGGTGATGGATCAGCTGTGATCATACAGAGTGGTGGCCCTGTGGGTTTGCAAGGAGAGCAGGGCAGCAAAACAGAACCCTGGGAACTGAGTGAGAGCCGGACTGGTAGCTCTGTCCCCCACCTTAGCAAGCACAGTTAGCTCTGGGCCTCAGCTTCCTGACCTGTAAGTGGATGGGACAGGCGCCTGGGCCTTCTGTATCTCAGTGAGCATGTGGAACATGGGGTCTGAATTCTGTACAAGAGACTGAGGGGCTACATCAGTGATGCTGCTCCGGTTAGGAGGGCTCTGGACAACCCTGCGGTCTTTCACAATTTTGTGATCTTGGTAGGTGACCTCTAAAGTCCTGTTGGTCCTGGCCAAACTCTCCTGCCTCTTCCATCCTCTAGGCCACGTGGGTTCACAGGAACAAGATGTCTACATCATGGTTTGGTGAAGTCCTTTTTCTGAACTCATACTCAGCCTTCAAAGCCTGGTCTCCCTGCCCTCTTTCCTCTGGTCCTAAGCAGATGCTTTCTCTTGTTCCCTTTGGCCAATAGCAGTTTCCACTTCTCAGGGTGTTCCCTTGAACACCTGGATAGACCCTGGTTGGACTGCATCCCTCCCAGGCCAGCAGCATTCAGCACAGCACCAAGGAACATTTACTGGGTTCAGCTTATCGGTGTCCACGTGGGAAGCTGCCAAATGGAACTTTTAATTATAATGTCTCAATAATATCCCATTTCGAGAGTCTTTATTATCCATTCTCTCTGCCATTAAAAGGTGCACTATGGTGGATCTTTGGCAAACATGCAATACTTTAAATAAAAGTAAATAATCAGAAAGTAATCTTTTAAAAGATCCATCTTTTGATTTCATTACAGCTTGTGTCATAATTTCAGCATAACCATTATGCTGAAGACTTGATTCAGCTTAATGAAAGTGATTGGACTGTGAGCCAGGGATTTCTTGTGCGGTCTTAAACAGACACAACTCTGGGGTCTTTTTCTAAAGAGAGAGGATTCAAAATTATGTATAACTCACAGGCTGTGTGCAGGGAGCCTCTTTATGTGACAGGACCAGCACTCTGATGCTCAGTACTCTTGAGAGAATGTAGGAATTTGTGAATCCTGCAGATTCCAGCACTTCATGGCACCAGGAGAGGGCAGCATAGCATCAAGCTAGGAAGCTGATCACTAAAACTGGAGATTTGTGTCTCCTTGGAATGTTTGTACCTACACTTTGAATTGCATCCTGTGCTCTGTGAAGGAACCTCTTTCTGTGCTTCTTCCAAGCAAGACAACCTGGCTTCCTTCCCTGAATGTATCTCAGACACCTGCAACTCAATTGGTAGGTTAAGACAGTCACGTGACACTGCCCTTAAACTTTTTAATAAGCTTTCTCCCCTTCTGTTTTAAGGTACTTTTGAATTGCATTTATTCTAAAGCAAAAAGAACATGTTCCACAGAAACCCCTAAGTGGTTTTAATGAGCTTTGGCTTTGCTAGAGGTTTTAACCACATTAGATTTTATTTACATTGATCTAGCCACAAGTAACCACACCTCCCCCTCTCCCAAGTATTTGACAAAAGTTTCAAAAACTAACATGTCTTATATAGCAATTAAGGATACAGTTAATCACACAAAGGGGTGTCCTGGTACTCAATTTAATCACTTAACACAAATGGACCCAGAGACACCTTTCTGTTCTTGTCAAATCCCTGAAACCAATTTTGGATTTTTTTAAAATTGCATTTGAGCATTTGGGAATTTTTGACACAAATTTTGGCCTTAAAGGCAAAGGACCAGCCCTCATATTTGATGTTAGTCTCTAAACTCGGTCTGCTGTGACGGTGGGTGCAGGCCTTTCTACCGAAAGCTGTCCTCAGAATGTAAGGACGGATTTCTGTTGCTTAGATTTAACACACTTTAGCCAATTTGTAAAATGAGTGAGTGAAGGAAAATCAAATATGGCACTTTACAAGGCTATATGAAGGAATTAAGAAGGTACAAAGCTTCAAAGTTAGGTACTTCCTACAGTAACCTATGACTGCAATGTGTCAATAGTGAGTCCATCCCATTAGAAAACCAAGTATGCCAACCAGTTGACCTCCAACCCTCTCCCTTCATGCATATATGGTAAACCTGTCCTCAAAATTCTATGCTATAAGAGAACATGTAAGGTGGCTGGTGTATGCATACTACAACCTGAGTGGGTTCTGGGCAGCCCGCCGTGGGTACCTAAGTTACAACACAGAATGAATACAACCACTGGCAAGGTAAAGATTTTTATAACACCCAACTTGCAGAAATGAAATAGGTGTGATAACTAATGCAGGCATTCTTAGAGCATATCCAAATTTTAAAAACCAATTAACACCAACCATGAGTCTGGAAAGCATTTGCAAAACATCATTGCCAGGAAACTTCTCAAAAGCCTACATGACAGAGATCAATAGAGAAGGCCATCTTCATCCTATTAATTAAAAAAAAAAGATTTTCTTTAAAACTACTAAATATTCCTGTTATGAAGAGAACAAACATCTGAGAAAAGTGCACACAACCATCCCCTCCTGCCCCAGTGATTGATGCCCCTGCCATTAGCAGGGTAGCTGCCCACTGCTTATGGTGATTGACAGACTAATAAGGAACCTGGGGCTATCTTTTCAGTATGAACACACAACCTCACCAATTACTTTTAAATTATTGCTAATCTGCCCCCAAAATAACAAGCATAAGGAATAAAAATATCTCAGAAAGAAATGTCTGCTGAAGCAGCTTTCACTTCCGGTGCTTTAAAAGGTTCAGTTCAGAAAACTTGCCAGAATTTAGTCAATAGAATTTAGGCACTGAGGGTTTTTTTTTTTTTTTTTTTTTTTTAAGAAAAACTTGTAGTTTATAATAGTTCATTGGTTCAATTAGGAGCGAAAGAGAAGGGAGTTTTGTAATGCAATTGTCCAGCAAAGGAAAACGCTTTAAATTGGGGGATTATGTGCACAGACCACCTGTAGGGCATTCAGAGCCCTTTTCTATAATGCTTCAACCCATGCCTAGCTGCCTGCCGGCTGGCTAACAATGCCGGGAAAAGCTGTTTAAAAGGCTGTGCGCACTTGTGCCTCTGGTCTTCACTAACTGTTACAAGTCTTCCTCTCCCTCGCTCTCTCTCCTTTTTAAAGTAAAAGTCCCACAGCCCTTTAATGGAAGAACTTTAAGGCTCCACGGTGGCCAATTGGTCTGCAGCAAGAGGAGCTGGGCAGCGGGGAAAGAAACTTCAGACCATACAGCACATTTGGAGAGGAGAAAAGATCAAAGTTTTTCAAACTCAAAAGACCAAGTTCCCTACAGATTAACCCTATTCATTTAGCTCCACTTAAAGGAATGATGTGCTGAGCCACTGGGCAGACAGGTAAAAAGTTCAACAATTGCCAAAGCATTCTTCTGCTAATTCAACAGCCTTCTGCTCAAATAAATTAGCTTAGTCTTGACAGAGGAACAATAGCTTTTTCTCTCGGAAAAGAAGCACATTTGGTATACACAAGCATGGAAGGTTATTAAGATGTTAACCCGTTAGTTTAATCCATTAAAGAGCGCCTGCTCCACTACCAGATTGTCAAGTGACTTGTACTGCAGAACTCTGGTTTAGAATACCAGTCTCCACTCTCCAACAGAAATCAGTTCCTAAAAAGCCAGGTGCTTTCAAAATCACAGACTCGAGATATGAATGTGGGGTTATGAAACCTTTAGTAATATCACACAAGATAAATAACAAGGCCTATGTGGAATTTCTATCTTTGCAAGAAGTCCCATTTACACACACTAAAGTGAGTTGTAATCCACGGATCAGCAAAGATCTACCATTCAAACACCATCACTGGAGAAGGTGCAGAAATTCAATTTTGATTTCAGTTCCACAGTGGTATTTACTTGTTAACAGTTTGCGAACTAGAGATTAACAGGTAATTTTCTCCATGCCTAAGGTCAGTGTACAGAATGACAGCCAGAGAATGTCCATTTCCCCCATGCATCCTTAGCAAGCACGGTAAAGGTGACAGCTTAGAAGAGGCTGGGGAGCGGGCAATGTTTAAATCATTTATCAAAAGTCATTTTATTGACAAAATAGAATACTTATATTTGTTCTTACAGGGGTAGCCTCTAAACTTTTTACAAAAAAAATGTACACAATGTATATCTTTGGATATGTACATATTTTACACATTTTTACAATTTAACAAATAATTATATAAATACATCCTCTAATGTAAGAAACCCGTATTTACTTGGGGTGTATAATTAAGACATATCTTGTTTATTTAAGGCATCTGCCTGGTCATTAAAAATACCCAAACCGTGCAATCCTGTTAGGTCGCCGTCCTCCCTCCTCCGGGATACAACGGGAGGAAGAGTTCACGTGGGAGAGTCGAAAGGGAGGAAAGGAGTCCCTCGGGTGAAGGCTGCAGCTGTGGCTTCCGGCTCAGCACCGGGCAGCTCTGAGCGCTGCAGACCCCGGGTTCGGAGCGCTGTGCAGTCCGCCAGGAGGAGCTCCAAGTGTCAGTGGAGGCGAGGGCGCCGGGAGGCTTCAATGCCAGGTACTTTGTTCTGAGCAAGTCATTTAGGTCCCAGCTAATGGATACCATTAAGAGTTCATTATCATGCTAATAGCAATCAACATGGTGACGCGGTGGGAACCTCCGCCCTTTCAGGGTCCCTGAGCCCCCGCCCCTCCGCTCAGACCTGGGACAATGGCATCTGCTTCGGGTAGGACACCGAGCTGGCCGTGCCGGACCGCCAAGTCAGGCCGGTGCTGACGTCACTGTAAAGCGAGCCCCCTCCGCCCCCGGGCCCCGCGCCGCCTCCCGGCCCCGAGCCCCCGGCGCTCCCAGCGCCGCCCTTGCTGGCCCAGCAGCAGCGCGTGCACAGCGCGCGCCAGGACTCCAACGTCTTGCCCGACCACACCCACACGCCCGAGGTGATGCCCACCACCAGGCACATGAAGTACTTGAGCATGAAGACTGCGTAGTCCGGCCGGCGCGCCTGATCTGGCTGCAGGTCTCGCAGGCAGGGGCAGTTGTGCGCCGCCTCCCAGCGTGCGCGGTTGTGCTGCTCGTAGAAGAGGCAGGCGACCACGACGGCAGCGGGCACAGTGTAGAGCACTGTAAAGAGCCCCAGGCGGATCATGAGCTTTTCCAGCTTGTGTGTTTTGGTGGGTCCGCCCTGCTGCTTGATGACCGAGCGGATCCGGAAGAGCGACACGAAGCCGGCCAGCAGGAACATGGTGCCAATGAAGAGGTAGATGACCAGCGGCGCCAGCACGAAGCCCCGCAGGTTGTCTAGGCTCTGGTTCCCCACATAGCAGATGCCGGCCACTGGATCGCCGTCCACCGAGCTGAGCGCCAGCACGGCGATGGACTTGACGCTGGGCACCAGCCAGGCGGCCAGGTGAAAGTACTGCGAGTAGCCAGCGATGGCCTCGTTGCCCCACTTCATGCCGGCTGCCAGGAACCAGGTGAGCGACAAAATGACCCACCAGATGGAGCTGGCCATGCCGAAGAAGTAGACTAACAGGAAGACCACAGTGCACAGCGCAGGGCCCGTGGTCTCATAGCGCACGTGCTGCCCCACTGCGCCCAGGTCTTCGTAGTCGCCGCGCGCGCCAGGGCCCCCAGCGCCCCCCGCCGCGCCCCCTGCTCCCGCGCCCGCACCCCCCGCGCCCGCGCCTCCACCACTGCAGGCCACCTTCTCGTGGCCTGCCACCAGGCGCACCAGGTAGCCGACCGACACGAAGAGGTAGCAGGCCGAGAGGAAGATGATGGGCCGTTCAGGGTACTTGAAGCGCTCCATGTCGATGAGAAAGGTCGACACGGTGGCAAAGGTGGACACGAAGCAGAGCACTGACCAGAGCCCTATCCAGAACACAGTGAAGGCGCGCTCATCCTGGCTAAAGAAGGGGTTGTGGCAAGGCAGGGCACAGTTGGCGATCTGGCCAGTCCTGACCCGGTTGTAGAGCGGGTGGCGCTCGCTGGACACGCTGACCATGGGCGCGCGGCACTGGCACCCGGGCTCGCACGGGGCCTTGGCTCCGCCGCGCGCGCCCGTGCCCCGGCCGGCGCCCCCAGTACTCCCGCCGTCCGCGCCACCTCGATGCGGGGCTCGGGCGCCAGGCACCCGGCCTTGCCCACTGCCCGAGGCCGGCTGCTCAGCGGGCGGGGGCGGCGGGCCGGGCGCGGCTGTGGCGGGGTCGCTGCGGTTGTAGTCCATGCACAGCGTGTCCGGGCTGCCCTGCTCTGGCAGTCGGTCGCAGCGCATGCGGTCGGGCCAGGCGAAGCCGTACTGGCGCATGAGTGGCGCGCAACCGGCCTTGGCGCGCTCGCACACTGCGCGGCAGGGCGGCAGAGGCTTCTTGTAGTCCTCCAGACAGATGGGCGTGTACATGGAGCACAGGAAGAACTTGAGGTCAGGCGAACACTGGATCTCCACGAGTGGCCAGAACTGGTGCACCTCCAGGCCCGCTTCGTCCTGCGTGTCGTGGTTGAACTGGTTGGGCATGTAGGTGTAGTTATAGCCAACGCCGCGGCACAGCGGAACGGTGATCTCCTGGCACGCCAGCTCCTTGGCCGAGGCGGCTGCCGCGCCACGGGAGCGCTGCAGCAGCGCGAGGGCGGCCAGCAGCGAGGTCACCTCCAGCAGCGAGCTCCACTCCATGCTGGGGCGCGCGGGGGTCCCGGCGGGAAGGGCGGGTGGGGTGGGGGACCCGCGCCCCGCGTCCGGAGCGCCTGGCCCGCGCCCTCGGGTCGCGCTCAGCCCTAGCGCGGCGCAGCGCGCCCCCGGCTCATCGCCCGCGCGCCCGGCCCCCTCCTGCCCCGGACGCAGCGAGTTTCTTGCGGGCCGCGGCGCAGTCCGGCGCCTCAGCCCTCGAGGGCCTTCTCAGCACCTGGGAAGAGGCTCATGCCCGCCCCAAGGCCGCGCCGCCCCGGCCGGAGTTTGGGGCCTCTTCCTCCGGGTCTTTCCGCCCGTCAGCTCCGCGCCGCGCTCCGGGTGCCGTCGCGCGCAGTGCGGCCCCTTCCCTCAGGCCCGGGAGCAAATCCAGACCCTGAGCGGCGCGGATACCTTGGCCTAGTGGCGCGGTAGGAACTATACCCCGCGCTCAACTTCTCGGCTCCAGCCCGCAAGCGCCGGCGGCCGGCTCATGAATATTTATACACCTGGATACGGGCTCCGCCCCCATCCCGGCGCGCCAATCACCGGGCGACCAACTCATGAATATTTATACAGCCTGGACCGGGCAGCGTTCCTGTTCGGGAGCGCCAATCACTGGCGGCGGGGCGGAGCCCATGCGCCTGGGGCACATCAGTCTTTAAGGAAGTCGGTGGGGCCCGCGGCCCAGTGCGCCTTCTGCACTGGGGTCTTTGGTAGCTTTGGGACAGACTGGGAGACTGGGAACCCTGACTGTCCCCGCGAGTCCCAGGCGCCAGAAATCTGGCCCTATTTCCCCGATTGTCGCTTGGAGAGTAGAATGGGGTTGTACCGTAGCGCGCGCCTCACCAGCCTGTTTCAAAGCAGCCGAGACTGCCTTTTGCTCTCCACAAGTGGGGGCGACCTGCTGGCGGGCGCTGGGGCCGGGAGGGGCTCCCCGGAGGTCTCGAACCGCGTGGAGGCTGGCCCCGGCGGCCGGCTGGGCCTCCGGGAAGGAGGGGGTCCCTGGCGGGGCGGGCGTGGAGCTCCGGGTGTCCCTTCCGGCTTGGCCATTGATTTGGGGAGCCCTAGTTTCCTTACCTAGAAAGTGGGGGTGGTCACACCACAGGGCTCAGGGGGCTTTGGATAAGTGGGGGAGATAAAATACATAACGCATCAGAACCCAGTGCTTCCTTTAAGAAGAGATTGCCACACTTCCTTTAAAAACAAAACGAAAACTTATAAATGGGACTGGAGACCACCGCAGGATTCTGTCCGCCCCGCGCTTTCAGGCACAGTCATCTGTCCAAAGTTCCTAGTTTGCCAGAGCCTCCTTTTCTCCTGGGAGGTGGCGCTGCGCCCGGGTGCACGGACACGTCCCCAAGGTGGCCCCAGCTTTGCGCGTCCCCGGGGTCGCCCCAACCTTGCGCCGCCGCCCCGCATCCGCCTTGAGAAGGAGGGGGGCTGTGAGGCCCGGCGGCCTGGCAGGTTCATTTACGCTTGTTAGGACGTCCCAGGGGGTTGTCTTTCTCCCAGAACGGAGTGTTTATTTTTTAATTGATGTGCTGTTTCATTTAGCGCTTGTATGGAACTCATGCTGGGGCTGTAATTACTGTAATCTCGGGAACAAGCATTTCAGGGAGCCAGGAGGGTGGCAGCAACCTCCCTCTGCAGCTCTTCCTCCTCCTCTCTCCTCCCTTTTCCTCTCTCTCTCCTTCACAGTAACGTTCTCTCTCCCCCTCCTCTGTCCTTTCTCCTCTCTCCTTTCTTCTTTTCTCTCTCCTTTCTCCTCTTTCTCGGTTCTATCCCCTCCACCCCCCCCCCTTCTTTCACTCTCTCTTTCTCTTTTTGTTTCACGATTTTTACTCTTTGTCACGTTTCATGCCAGGGACAAGGAGAAATAGAGCACACAAGTTGCTAAGGGCGTGGGGACAGAGAGGTCAGTCCAGGGTTTTTGTTGTTAGTTGGCGGCTATCGGTTTAAAAACAAGGCTTGTAGCAAAACAAAATTAGCCGGCAGCGGTAGTCGCTGGGGCTGGTGGGATCTGTCTCTGTCCTCTGTTCTCTCCAGCTCGGCAGAGCAGCCTCGTTGTGAGGCACCCTGCAGGCAGAAGGGCAGGAACACCTCCGCTCGGGCTTTTGGCGAGTTCTTATTTTTGCTCTTAGGCACAGCCAGCAGGTTATAGTTACACCCGCCATCGTCTTTTTTTTTTTTTTTTTTTGAGTCTAGTTAGGACCTCTTTATAGTGAAAGCAACACACGACACTTCCTACTTTTGTTTTGGAAAAACTTAACTCCATAAGAACCCGAAATTCAAAGCTTCAGACATAGTGACCAAATCAGCAGAAAACAGATCATTAGGAAATGCATATTCGACCTTGACTTTTTTTTTTAATCAGTCTTCCTCTATATCGGAATTTCCATTTGCGGTGTGTTGAATGTAGTCGGTCACCTTTCTCTTCAGTGGGAACCTTGCTCTGGTGGGCTAATCCCCAGACCACTCAGCTGCACCTGGGAGTTAGAGATCCCTGCAGAGCTTCAGGCGTAGGCATGGTCCTCCACGCGACCTGCACCCCTCCCCCAGGCTCTGCCCGCAGACCACGAGGGGAGGAGCTAGTTTCCAAAAGCAACACTGGCGGCCAAAGTTTCTACTGCTGGTCTTCTGCAGGGAAATGTCAAACACTGAAGTTTAGAATTACACTATATAAATTCACTAGAATTAGGCAAAACAAGCTGACATTTGAAAATCGATGCTGCAAATAGTTGATTTTGGCACTGTTTTTTTTTTTTTTTCTTTTAGACGAGGAAAAGTTTGATGATGTGGAACTTGGAAATTTTTGGTAAGCTTGCATGAAAAAATAAGCCCACAAAAAGTTCAGATTTTCAAATATCAGACTATTTGGAGGCTATACTGACTTGTGATATTAAAATATATAAAACTGTGAGGAATTTACTTCTAATTGAGAAATACAGCAAACACATTTTTAGATATACTATTAGACAGCTCTACTTGACAGAGAAGAGAATTATAAAATCAATCTGCATTAAAATTGGTGACATGTCAGCTTGAAGAAAACGCACCATTAATCTATGTTGCCAGCTAAACAATGACATTTTCTTTGTAATTAGTAAAGCAGTTATAAGAGGAAATAGCTTCCAATGACATAAATAATAAAGCTAAAGGGATTTCTGAAAGGTTTTCTTGGTACTGAATGCGTGCAAGCACAATACTGTTTGTATTACTTTCCAATACTGTCATAGAAAACACCTGAGATAGTTAATTTAAAATTTATAAAAAGCAAAGGCTGACTTTGGTTCACAAGTTTAGAGTTCTTTGCTATGATGGTTGGCCTCATTGCTTGTGATCCTGTGGTGAAGTGGCTTAGTATAGTAGGGAGTACAGGTAGAGCAAAACTTTCTCCCATTGCTGGAGTGCGGATTAGAGAAAGGACTGGGTGCCACATCTTCCCCGAGGGATTCTCCCAATGACCTAACCTCCTTCCGTAGGCTCTGCCTCTTAAAGTTCCACTGTCTCTAGATGGCATCACAGAATAGGCCAAACTTTAAACAGATCTCTGGGGAGTGTTTCAGATCTAAATTACAGTGCAGTTGAAGGCATGGATCTATGTCAGAGAAAGGCAGGTTTTACCGGACGTCGAATACCAAGTTAAATAGGAGACTATCCATGTAACACTTGCCTAAATTTAAGAATTGTTGAGAAAATCATGCTTTAGTGCATTATATTTAAGACTACAAGCAAGAATCTTGATATGAGAGGCCCTAACATATACTAATCAAATGGTATATTTAAAAAATGACAGGGGGAATTATTTGTAACTAATGAAATGTCTCAGTATTATATCAAGCAGTGATAATTTCTTCTAAAAGCTTGTTTTACTTTCAGAGAAATAATGAAATACTGTATTATAGAGAGCATAAAACTCTATCAGGTGATATTGGGGAGTTTTGGTATTTTAAAAATCTGACTTTCAAAGGATTATGTTCATATATAGAAAGAGATTTAGGGGTTCACTGGTCTTACTTCAATCTCTGTATTAGTATGGGTGCTACCGTCTGGATCTTGAGTATCCCCCGACAGCCCAGGTGCTGAAGTTTGGTTGCCAGTCATAGCGCTGTTGGAAGGTGCTGAAGCCCTGAGGATGGGGGAACTGGTGGAAGGATGGTAGGTCCTGGGGATGTGCCCTGGACGGGAGAATGGGGCTTGGCCCTTCCTGTTGTTTTGTCTGTGTTTTCTGGCTCTGATGGGGTGAGCACTTTTGTTTAACACACACTTTCTACCATGTTGTGCTGTTTCACCACAGGCCCAAAACAACAGAGCAAATGATCATGGACTGGAACCTCTGGAACTATAAGTCAAAGTGAACATTTTTTTTTAAACTGGATTGTCTCTGGTATTTGTTACAGTAAGGGAAAGCTGACTACCAATGGTTGAGGTTATTTTTATATTCTTCCATATTAACAATAAGCTTTATGAAAGATGTTCCTCCTCTACTTTCTTGGCCACCAAAAGGAGGATCCGGGAAAGGGCAGTACATTACTTTGTCTGCTGTCACAAGACAAGCAGGCACATGGGGGAGCTAACTGAGGTACCAGTGCTATTTGTTTGGCATGAGATACTCATGTTACAGCAACCACCATTTTAGAACATGGAAAGTGCACATTGTCATCATGTAACTTTTCACAGAAGGACAGGAAATGGATCTGTGGCCACAAAAAACTACCACCAGATGAAATTATCATGATTTTCTTTCTCTTTTTTTTTTTTTGGTGGCACTGAGTTCTTTTTTTTCTGTTTCATTTATAATTTAGATGTTTATTTTGAACAAACTCTTATTGCTCTTGCTGCATAACAGTGACACCAACACTGCTTAAAATAATTTTATTTTGCTTGTATTTTGAGGATCAAGAACTTCAGACAGGCTGGTCTAGGCAGATATTGCCTGGCACCTTTCCTACAGTTGCACTGAAATGTCCTCAGGATTGTGGTCCTTAGAACTGATGCAGCTACAGCACGAAGCTGGTGTACTCAGGCTGCTGCCAGCCAGGGTGCCCCATTGTGTCCCTTCTCATGGACAGCAGTAGGTGAATGGATTTCTAGTGTGGTGGGGGCATCCCTAGAGTAAGCCAGGTATGCGAGCAAGACCCTTTCATGATGGCCTTGAGTTTACTCAGCAGATATAATGCTGCTGAACTCTCCTGGAAACAGCTTAGTCTTCTCTTATTCAAAGGAGGTAGCGTGAAACTACTTCAAAATAGAGGGAATGTCAGATATTTTGGGGTCTATATTTTAAAACTGCACACCAACTGTCAGGCTCTTTGTTAAAGTGTTGGATGGACCAGACACTGTGTCCTTTATTTAGACCCCAACTAAGACAGTCACGTATACATAGTTACCATGCTATTGGGTAGCCAATTACAAGCACACAGAAAATGCATTAGGTAACAAGTGTTCAAGAGCTGGGGGAGGACTACACAGGGGTTTGGAAGACTG